AAGTATAGATTCACTTTCATAAAACTTTAGGTCATCAAAATCTGGGCCATCAGAAAAATCAGTTCTATGTTAAAATTTACAATGTAATAAAAGAATTTAACAGAACATTTTCACATGATCTAAATTCACAGAAATGGTTAACAACTTAAGTCTTAGAACTACTTATTAGACCAGAAAACACTAAATTATCAGAAAATATAATAGCAGTTTAAGAAACTATTTCTCAGTCGTAATGGGTATTTACATAAAATTGAAAAGATCAATTTTATACAAATGCACATCATGCAACTGCAATTTGGGGTTAGAGTTGACCTTGGAGTACCCCTTGTATTATCACGAAATTGTTGTTTCCTTTATTGTCAAGTTGTTGTCTCATTTATGACAACCTGAGTAGTTGAATGCTATGGAAACCCTATTATGACGTAATTGGTTGTGGTGAATTTGAATCATGGGAAAAAATTTTGAAAGTGTGTGTCGGATTTTGGGTAAGGTATTGTGATGGATTAGTCTGTTATGTCTGTGATGGATTAGTACGCTGTTATTTTGTGGTTTACACTGTAAATTGGCTGAATCTGGCAAGATTAATTTGAAGTTTCTGTAGGATTTGCAACAAAAGGGAAAAAAGCATTAATTCACTGGTGTGCAATTGAAGGTTTACTTAGTAGCCATTATTAAGTGTCCTGTTTGGAGGAAGGAAATGCGTACAGTCGTATGGTCGAACATTGGATATTTTCGAACGGAGGACATTTTTTACTCTTATGTTTTTTAATTTATGTTGGCACATGGCAATATGCATATTCTAGTTCAGATAACTTTTTTTAAATTTTTGGATGCTGTTAAGGAATTTTGTGTGCCACAGACTGAAGTCAGAAAAATTTCTAAATAAGGCAAATCGATATTTCCTTCGTGTAATGCTAAGATGAATTTCCTTTTTTATGTTATTTCATTGTTTGATTTAAAATGTAGTTTATTCAGATTTTATATTTTTTTGTTGGCTGCTCCTTTGATTTTTTAAGTGAATATAGTTTGATGTGTACATGGACAAAGGGAGTGTGCAAAGCTTAGTTTGTGAAATTCTTTGATTTTTTTTCAAGTGAAAATAGGTCGATGTGTACATGGATAAAGTCAAGAGAATGCGCAATGGCATTTTTGTGTAATTCTGGGATGTTTTTTTAAGTGAAAATAGGTCGATGTGTACATGGATACCGAGTTTGTGCAATTCTTTCTCTTGTTATTTTGGCTTTGTGTAGCAGCGATTTTTACAAAAATCACCGCTAAGCAAGCCAAAATAACAAGTCAAAGAATTGCACAAACTCGGTACCCATGTACCGCCAAAAATCGCCAAGGGGTACTCTAAAATATACTTTTATCCAATTTGGTTGATAGTACTGCATAACAATCAACATATATTTCATATTAATACAATTTTATACTTTCATCAAGATGATGCATTAGTTTCCAACTATGAATTAATATTCTGATAAATTACAACAAATTGCACATATTTTAATATAAAAATATTTATAGAAAATTCACATAAATTCATATTTAAAAATACTGCATATTCAAACAATAAAGAAATTTATTATTTTTATGAATATTTTTCTTGTACACAAATATGCATAAAATCTATTAAATAATTAATTTTTTATTACTATTTAATTAAAGAGAAAAAATTTGATACTGCCTACTTTCAAATATTACTCAAATCAATCTAAATGCTGAATTTTTTAAAATATGGTAATTATTAAATTAAGAGTAACTTACTTTTATTAAACAGGAAAACAATATGCTTCTTTCCCTCCCCAAAGACAAATATGATAACAAAAATTGTCATTATTCAAATTAAAAATAGAGGTAAAATTTCAAATAATATGAGATAAAATATGTGTCCAAAAAGGCAGAAGTTCATCAATTTTTAATTGTTAATTATTAAGTCTTTTCATCATATACATCTCTTTGGCCAAAACTATCTGAAAAATTTTAACCACTGATTAAGATTTCTTCTAAACTTCTACTCAAATTTAATACCTATTCATATTAAATAATATTTGTTTATCTGCTTTTAACAGTTATAATTCTTTTCCCACTGTTTTCTCAAAAGCTTGTGTTACATATTTAATGAGATCAGCCCCCCGCCCAATACTTAAATTTTATAATAGGAGGATATTTGTTTTATAACTGATAAGAGGGAAAAAGATTTAAGAATATAATTTTAAAATATGGCCTTCTTTTACATTAGGAATTCACATGAATTAAAGCACTTCTTAATTAATAGCTATAAAAATTTCAATTGGCATGCATTACTTGCATACAAACAATAGAATCTGTTTTGAAATGTATTATTTTCTCCTCTTTTATCTCATCATTATGACTTCAATATTAAATTCTGTTTCATTTCAAAACTACAACTGAAGAGTTAACTATGTAATTGTAAAACTATTTTAAACGAAGCTCCTAATACATAAAATATTTTTTGCACATATATATAATATGTAAGAAAGGCATACTAATTAAACTAAAATGGACCTATGAAGTCAAGAATTTTGCGCATTGAGCTGCAAAATTTGAAATAAAATTAAAAAGTAAATTCTTTCAGCTATAACCTACAAGCTAAAGTGATACTTCGTTCCTTTGCAAAAAGGTATAAATACAATATGTATGAAATACTTGTATTTATTAAGAAAAATAGCAAAAGATGAATGCTTAACTTGATTCAAATTTAAAAGTTAATATGTAAGTAGAATAAAGTGTAAGCTATCTCAAAACATATTATGAGGGGGGGGGAGAGAAATCATATTAAAAAAACAAAAAGTACTACAAGCAGCGGTAAATGGAATAATTAGCCTAATTCGAATATCATCATGGACTTTTCAAGGGAAATGCATAGTGACACTCGAACTCTGCTAAGTTCCAAAACACATTTCGTCGAACAGGCTTTGAGCTAAGAAATTTTTTATTAAAAAGTTCCAATATTAATTTTAACCAGGTCTCAATTTCCCTGTTCCATTTCCCCATGCGTCCGCTGTTAACAAGTATAAGTGAAATACTTAATTTGTGTAGTAAAACTATACAAGAAGACTGGTAAGCAAATTTACAGCATTAAAATAAATAGCGAAATTGCTATTAGTCTATATAAGCTCAAACTTTATGGGTGAACCTTCTATCTGAAAAGTTGATTCCCCTCAGTTAGTTACGTTTCATCGGACCTTGCTTCCTGACGTGTGCTTTCCCCCTTGGCGTAGTCTCGCCCAATTGGGGAATTTATTTCTTCTTATCTTTTTCACTCTTGTCTGTCGTTGCTTTCCAAACCCTCTTTCTGCCATTTTTGTAAAACAGCTTCTAGCAGAAAGAAGTCTTGAGTTCAGGTATGTTTTTCATTTCATCTTTTTGTAGTTATAAATTTTGGTCATAACCTGACCCAATATTAATCTTATATTCTCTTTCTAAAACATTATTGCTGTTACATTTTTTTTTTTTAAAGTTATAACTTTTCAGACTAGAAGGTTCACCCATAAAGTTCCTCTTATATAGACTAATAGCAATTTTGCTATTTATTTTAATGCTGTAAATTTGCCTTACCAGGCTTCTTGCATATTTTTACTACACAAATTAAGTATTTCACTTATACCTGTTAACAGCGAGCGCATGGGGAAATGGAACAGGGAAATTGAGACTTGGTTAAAATTAATATTGGAACTTTTTAATAAAAAATTTCTTAGCTCAACGCCTGTTCGACGAAATGTGTTTTGGAACTTAGCAGAGTTCGAGCGTCACTATGCATTTTCCTTGAAAAGTCCATGATGATACTCAAATTAGGCTAATTATTCCATTTACTGCTGCTTGTAGTACTTTTTGTTTTTTTAATATGATTTCCCCCCCTCGTAATATGTTTTGAGATAGCTTACACTTTATTCTACTTACATATTAACTTTTAAATTTGAATCAAGTTAAGCATTCATCTTTTGTTATTTTTCTTAATTAATATTTCATGCATATTATGTTTTTACATTTTGCATTACTATTGGATCTTTATTTTGTGTTTATACCTTTTTGCAAAGGAACGAAGTATCACTTTAGCTCGTAGGCTATAGCTGAAAGAATTTACTTTTTAATTATATATATAATATTGCTTCTTTTAAATACTAAAATGTTTTCTTCAAACACTGAAGTTTTACATTAGATACTCATAGTATGTCTGTAAATGTCAAAGACAGATGGGTAATGTTTCATGTAAAGTAACTAGGTAAATTATACAAGCATTATTAAAGTTAATGATTTTAAGTAAAATACACTTTGCACTTCTTGTTCACACTAGATACATGAAAGATGAACAAGTTTATTTTTGTAATGGCTTGAAATATTTCAGAGAATTTACAACTTTTAAATGAGATAACACTTAGGGTTAAACTTCTATTTTATTAAACAAATTGTGCCTATGATGTACTTTTAAAATTTTTAAACATTAGAACAATAACTTAATTTCAGAATTTTGCTTCTTCTATTTATGAAAAGTATATGTGTGCCAACCACTGCATTCCATTTTGTATGCTTACATTTCAGCTTTTAATTAGTATATTAACAATGAAATCTTATTAGCTTTGTTTCAGGGAAGCATAGCATTCCAAACAAGTTCTTTCATATATAGTTCATTCATTAATAATTAAAACTGCAATATAATATGCAGCTTTAATTCTTAAAAAAAAAAAAAAAAAAAAAAAAAAAAGCAGTAAAATATATTTGAAGCACAAAAAGCATTACATGCACAACATTCTGTGGCATTTCTCAAGCTGTTTTGAATTTTATCAAACTTAGTATGTACTTCAAATGGACATTTTGGAAGATATACCATGACTTTTAACAATAATATGCAGCTAATGTAATAAAATAATAATAATAATAAAAAAAAAAAAAAAAAAAAAAAAAAAAAAAACAGATTCACCAGCAGTATTCTTTGCATTTTGTGCAAATAAATACATAAACTAATATAGCATATTTACCTCATCTTCTAAGTAACAGCCTTCTAAATCTACTAAGTTAAATTGCAGTCTTCTCAAAACTTCTTCCAATGCCTCACAATGTTTCACAGTTAGTTTCTCACCTGAAAAATAGAACAGAATATATACATTTTTAAAGTTAATAATAATACTAATAACTGTGAGCTAGACCCAAAGAGAGTCTTTTGACATATATGAAATTCATTAAAACATGCATCAAATATACATACTTGCATATATATATATATATATATACGCACAGCACAACGTTATACAGTTATCCGCATCAAATTCAGAATTATGCAGTTAAAAAGAAAGGAGAAAAAAACTCATAATGGTACAGGAAAATTTGAAAGACATTTATATTTGCAGCTTAGTTACAACTACTATGGCTTCATCTTCAGTTCAAGGCTATCTTCAAAAGTACAGTTTATTTTCTGTGAAACTATAAGCACACTAATTAAACATAGCTAAAGAATGTAAGATATTTTAAATGATGCCTAGTAGTATCTCATCAAGAGAAAAAAGTAAAATCTCAATTTTCAAGAAACTATGTAATCATTTGAGAAATTTTCAGAATGTACTCAAATATTTTCCCATTATATTACAAAAACATGTAAAATGTGTATGAAAGGAGTTATCAGTGATATTGAACAGTAAAGCAAGGCTAGCATCATAGAGCTAATATACACACTATTTATAGAAATAATAATATCAGTTAAAATCATTAAAATGAATTAAATCAGGATAATATACACAAAGTGGATTTCATGAAAATTGCTGAAATATTACTGGTAATATTAAAATTTTATATGTTTATTAAATTTAGGTATTTAAACGCAGAAAATTTAGTATGCTTAACCCTATAATGGCAATAAATTTTATTCCTAAATTTTGAAAAAAAAAAAGGGGGAGGGGTACTTTTCTAGTAACTTTAACTGATTTAGTTTCAGTCTGGTATAATCTTGGATTTAGCTTGCTGATAAGTATTTGGGTAGAGCAATTCTTCTAATTTAAGTACGTGACATATTGAAAAACTAAAGAATAACACAGACTTTGATATAAAAAATTTAATTACTTATTTTTGAGATGTATGGATAAATATTTAAATCAAAGACATAATGATTTATTATAAAAGAAAATTTAAAGATGATTTAAAAAAGTAAATATTTAGATTATATTATTAAAAAATGATTTAAAATCTAGGAGGTCAGATATTTTTATAGTAAGCAATATTTTAATAAATGACTTTTTAAACCAGATTTAACTTTTTGTTACCATATGAATTTTGCTATATAGCCATCTAAATATGAGCTTTGAGTTTCAGTCTCTCACTTTGTCAAACTCCAGATTCTATCAATCCTCCCCTAAGAACTGAGTTTTATATCATAATTATTTGCATAAATCATAAAATGTTGTGGTAAAATACTACTTTCTTGTGAAAAGTTACAGCTCATTTTCTTCCTGTACTAAATTACAACGTTTCATAATTATTTTGCTGCAGTATAATAAAATCTCAAAATTTAAATATAAATAAATAAATAATGATACAAATAACTTTTATTTAAAAATATTAAAAAATAAGGATTTCAAAGAGTGATATACAATAGTAATTAATATAGCATAAATTTCTCCCTATCTGTAAAAAAATTTAATTTAATTATACACTGAAGAGCCAAAACATTATGACCACCGACTCAATAACACAATATGCGACCTTTGAGTCAGAAGAGCCACAACTCACTTTGGCATGAATGCCATCTACCGTAACAAGTTCCCGGTAGATGACTGGAGACAGGTTGTACCAAATGTCTGAGCAGCGGTCACACAAAGTCGAGATATTCCAACATGGTGATGTTTAAGCTCTGAGCTGCTGCATGACATCCCAAATATGCTCTAAGGTTATCTGGCAAGTTAGATGACCAGGACATTAATTGGAATTCATTCTTATGCTCCTCGAACAACTCCAACACAATTCGAGCCTTGTGGCATGTAGCATTGTCATGCTGGAAGATTTCATTTCCAGTTTGGAAGACAGACACTATATAAGGGTGCAAATGATTCGCAGTTACGTTCAGATAGTCTGCAGCTTTCGTGGTCTCTTCTACCCCAACTAAAAGTTCAGGCTGATGGTAACGGTAGAGCTTCCCATCTACTGTTACCATCAGCCTGTCTATGACCTGCTGTAAGAAGTGAGCAACTGTTCACCTGGAAGACAGTGTACATTGAAATGACCACTGACGTGATGAATAAGAAATTATGATTCATCCAACCAGGCAACTGTGATATCCTTATCCATGCTTCAGTCTCGATGTTCACAGGCCTACTGTGGGCATAGTTGACAATAAAGCTTTTTCAACATAAGCACACACATGTGGGACATCTGCTGCGCCCCAAGCTTTCTATGCCATTCAAAATGCTTTCGAAAATATTCTCCACCAAGAAACTGCTTTGAACCCCTATATGCAATTGTGCATCTGCTAGAACATTATTTAATAATATTTGGATTACAGGCAAAGCCATTTTTTTTTAATAACTGCTGCATTTAGCTGAATTCCAGAGGGATTTCTGCCTCTGAAATAACTGCATCAACCTTAATCTAGTGCCTGCTAAACAATTCTGCTTCCTTCAATTTTAATCTGGTAACTGCTAAACAATTCTCCTTCTAATTTTGACCTACCTTTCATCATCGGGAAAGCATTTACCAGGGCAGTTTTACATACTTCGAGTTTATAATTCTCACTGCCTGGTTCTCCTAATAAAAATTTACCACTACATTTGTACCAGCTAAGTGCCCGTCTCAAAATGTGGCAGTTATTATGGTGACTTTTTTTATTTCTCCAACTTGGTAAAGCAAAAAATGGGAGTATAGTTGTTCCAAAAATGTAATTACAGATTTTCTTCCATGAAAAGTCATTGCGGATTTTATCGAAGCTTGTATCGTGCCCATGATGTACCCAAATCCCTCCATGGGACTTAGTGATGTCGGTGAAACCTCTAATGTTGAAGAGGCCACACTATATGGTGAATTCTCTTGAGCCATGTTCCTTATTTTTTTGGGTACCACTATACAGTATGGTACATTTTGCAATTATCCAAATAGTGTCCAAACTCTGGTAGCCATTACGCAAATTATTGCCAAGTATAAAATAACTGAAGTATGAAAAGGGTGAAAAGAAGTTTTTATTTATAACAAAGAAGAATAAATAAAAATAACAAAGACGAAAGATACATCTGGTGCTTAGAAATCAGCCAACCATTTGTGGAAACGTAACTTAGAGTAACAGTCAGTCATGCAATGTTGAGGAGGCCACACTAAATGGTGAATTCTCTTGAGCCATGATCCTTACTTTTGTTGGGCATCACTATAGAGTTTGGTACGTTTTGCAACTAACCAAATAGTGTCCAAACTCTGGTAGACGTTAAGCGAATTATTGCTAAGTCTAAAATAACAACTGAAAATGTGTAAGACATGTAAAAGACATTCTTATTTAAAACAAAGAAGAATGGAAGACAGACCTGATGCTTACAAATCAGCCAACCATTTGTGGCAATGCAACTTAGAGTAACAGTAAGTCATGCAGGGCCATTTCTAGGCCATTGGCTGCCCTCACACTTTCCTAAGATTGCTGTCTCCAAACAAAAAAATAAAAATAAAATAAAAAAATAAAAAACGCTCACTGATTAATAAAATGTTTATTTCATACTCACTAAGTACTTATGTATGACAAATTGTACAAAAAGTACTTACAATGAATTTAATTAATTAAAAATATTTAGGCGTGGTATCATGAGAGTCCAGCCGTCCCTGATTTTGGCCACCCCTGTACTTTTATATGCTGCATCCCTGCTAGGAACAGCCCTGAAGTAATGGGAAGTTGAAAATTACATGAATTTAATGTTAAATTGGCTCACAATCTAACCAGTCTAAAAATTAAATATCAGAGACTATAATGGGAAATCCGAAGATTACAAATCTTATCTGAGTTAGCAACTTTATAACATGGCCTCAAAAGGCAGAAGATACTCTGTCTTCTTATCTAAAATCCTCATCTTAAATCTATGCAAACTAACTTGCATTCTGATGTGAAAACAAAAGAAATAAGTGACAGTAAAGATTTAAATTATAAAATAACTGGTTAACCTAAAGAAACTCTACCACATATTAACAATTAAAGACTTAACAGTAAAAGATACTATAATTAATCGTTTTATTTTACCGAAGAGGCAACTTAAGTAAAATTATGAATTACTAATTGTTAAGTACTTACTACTTAGTAGAGAAAAGGGGGGAAAAATTAAGGGACTGATCTTACAAAAATAACATAGGGAAGAGTAGCCTAATTTGGACCAATTTTGTATTTTTCACTATATAGGACGGAAGAAGTGCCAATAAAAATTGAGTAGTAGAAAATAAACTCACTAAGTGTACCTTCAAAATAGAACCATTTATTAAATTAAAAAAATTATTTATAATGGTGAAAAATGAATTTAAAAAAATCATGTCATCGGTTTCTTTATTTGGACCGCTAGTTTCCTAAATTGGACCATAAGCTTTCTTAACGGCAATTACAACAAAAGAACCTTTTAATTGCAGCACACCAAGCATGTATCCAAGCGTGACATTTCATGCATTGTATCATTTCTTCTTGGTTTTCTCATATAATATATAAAATTACCAGTTTCATTTTTATGTTTTTGCATTTTGTTAAACTTTGGTGGTTTTTTTTTTTTTTTTATTATTTTGATTTTTCTTTGCTCACGGTAATATTTTTTTAAGAGTCCTAAATCGTTTATTTTCATTATCATTTCTATCTTCATCATCATCACTATTAGAAAGTGAAACCGGGGTTTTACAATATTTCTGCAATTAGCTTTTAAAATAAGTTTTAAGCATGCTTACGCATACTTCGTCTTAGAGACGAATGGTTGCCATTCCCATAAGTTTTCCGAAGGGTAGTATTCTAAGGTTAATTATAATTTATCCATGAAAAAAATGTTGTTGCCAAAATTGGATCGGTTCAATTTCGGCAATTGTTTTCGGTCCAACTTGGGAAACTTGAATATTTAATGTTTGATATTGTACAGAAACGTCAAAATAACA